AATCAAGAATAAACCTTCTCGCAGAGTTTCTTTTTTATTTGTATACGGCTAATTTGAAACTAGGTTGTCTAGAGTGATATCTTCACTCTGACTTGTTCTCCACATCCGTTCACATTTTCACATGCCGAAATTTTGGAAAATTATATTGGAAATGAGAATCAACAATTGTGTTATACCTTGATTTTGTTGACCTTCCCTCTTCTTGTGATAGGCGATGCAACTCAGTCCAGGCCATGGCTGATTAAATTATTGCTTTCAACAGACCAACTTTTCGCTCTTTCCTGTTCCTTGTTTGTTTCGAACTCTACGTCGCTACTGTTCTGTCAATTCCAAGGTAGGGTAGGACGACTACGTTGAAGCAAACGAACTGAGGGAATCGAATTCGAGGGAAGCACGTCACAGTATCCCTTTAATTCTATGGCACCATGACACTATTACCTGTCTCAATAGAATAGAAATAGTAATCGCCTTCAATAATGCAGTGCTGTAGTATCCTACATTTGTGGCCCACTTGATGGTCACACCACAGTCTTATCAGAAATTTTTCTGGGGCTTTTTGCAAATTTTCAGAGATGGAGATTCTCCATGGGATGCTCAACCTCGGCCTGACGCTTATGCCAACATCATTTTTTCAGTTTTTGCAGGGATCGTACTTTTGGTGTTTCTGACACAGACATAAATTTACACTCTCGACCACTCGGCTATATCTGTCTCCAGTAACATTTCACGAAACATTGTTCAGCTCTGTATTAGAAAGCCTATTGCTCCCCTGGCGCATGTTCTGAACATTCCATCCTTTAGGGTATGATTCTCTATGTGTGGAAAGCTGTTGTTATAACCACAATCCCACTGCCATTGAATCCGTAGGTGCAAATTCCCCCAAACATTGTGGTTGATGTTTTTGCAGATTTTGCTCTGGTAAGTAAAGAGAATGCTCCTGTCTTTTGGAAAACGCTTTATAGGTTGATAGGATTAAAGAATAGTCTACTTCCCAAAATTAAAGAATTAGTAGGGCCACGATAGGTTGCCGCAAACATACAGCTTGTCAACGCAGCACATTATATAATAGATGCAGATGAACAACATGCATCTCTCCTAGGAGGGGGGTTTCGATCAGTTGCGTATATCATAGACAATAGTGAACTACAGAATGATTGGGAGCTGAGTTTCAAGGTGTCAGCTAACCCTTACAGATGTCACTTATCTCTTATCCACACCAATTCACTTCTCACCGGTGCACATATCCGGGAACTGGAGCGGTATGTAGTCAGGTATAGGCATCTCAGAGGTTTTTTTGTTATAATCACGATGAATACCTACTGTGAAACCAAACGGAGCAGGTAAAAAAGGTAAATTAGAGTTCAAGGGTCGGCGACTATTTTTTGTTTTTTTTTTTGTTCACGAAGCTCCATATTAATACCGGAGTAATAGTAAAGGAAATATCCATATTCCATTGCCAGAAATCATGAATCTTAAGAAACCCTTGTCGGTTTATTATCCTGATTCTACTCTTGAATACTAGCACTAAGATTTTGAAGGCAAGAACAGTCCTGCTTCTTCAGTTGCCGCACCGATTCATCTGAATCTTCACCGTTCAATGATCACCAATATCATCAGAATTTGAATAATATTTTATTTATTACTATCTAAACAATCGGTATCCTAGAACAATAGTAAGATCCAACCCGTCATGAATTTCTTGAGTGTAAGCGATTGAGGCAAATCACAGCTAATACAAGTGGCAACAATCCCAAATGGAGAAAGTGAATTATGAGCGTAGGAAAGCATCACCTAAGAAGATTTGGGGAACGTCCAGAACCTTTCTGTTTAAAATACAATGAAGAACACGCGAAACCACCGTTGATATCAATTAAGAGGAACCTACAGCACTATAAGGAAGTAGGGCCTCGAATATGTGACATTAGGTCCTAACTGAACGGAACATTATGCCTAATTTTGGGCAAAAGTTGTAGCAGGAGTACTTGAACTAGGAATCTTGGTGTTTCTCTTCATTCCAGTATGGCCAATTCTTCTTCAAGTACCACAAAGGTGGCGTGTCGGGAATTTTTCCACAGAAGTACCGGTAGACTGTCAATGAGTAGTATTCCCTAAAAACTAGTGTGAACTGTTTTTATGATCATCATCCATGAGAACCCCAATGACTCCAACCACCTGATGCCCTTAATTGAACAGGAAAAATCACTCACCCTTTGTCGTCTTCACCTCGTTGAATGTTAGAGATCAAGTCGAAGTGTATAACATCCTCATCATTTTTATCGTACCGTTCCTCGGCTTCGAAAAATTCACCCCGTCGAACGACTACCTGAAGAATGACCAAGGATAAAGTTATCAAATCAGTCAATGGTATATTAACAGTTTTAGAAGATAAAAGCTTCAATCATCAAAAAGCTGAGCTTTTTATTTCTCTAAGGGTATTTTCATTTCTTTAAATGTTTCCTTTAAAATTTTACTTCGGTTTAGTAGGGACATGAAGAAGCAGAAAGAACACTCAGATGAGATAAAGAACTGATGTGTTTTGAGAACAAGGTCGCACAGACGAGAAATCCTGAATGACAATCCGTCTGGAAATTGTCGCGTAAAATCTGGAAAGCGCCGCGCACTCCATCTCATCAAGAGTCCAAATACATTTGAATATGCAAAGAGGAGATCCAAAGAGTTGCAGGGAACAGCAGCTGAGCAGGGTTAGCTATTTAATATACCCATACGAATCTGGTACCATCTGACCGCCTCGGAAATGATTTGTTCGCTGACAAACCGGTTGGCATTCAGCTCAGCAATATATCTCGTGTGTGAGCTGAGTCGGGGCATCTGTTATTCTTTGATCACATTTACGATGCGATTTACAGACCAGATTTGCAACTTAGGCCGCAAACAGTGAGAAATGGAGTCTGCCATGGTTAACATCCTGCAATAAGCCACGCATTCGAGTATGCTCTCAAAATTTAGAAGGGTTCAGATTAAAACAGTCTTTCACAATGATTCTCGAAGGTTATCTTGTGACATTTAAGATTTCAATTCATTCGAACCCTTTCATTTCTGACAGGACAGCGTCTGGGGTGTTGGAGACCCTACTGACAGGCAAAGGACTTCGTTCCAACAACTACGTTGGATTGCCGTGTGCTACTACACCACCTATACCTCTCATAAACCATAATAGATTTTGGGTGGGAAGTTCTCGATGCACTGGAAACGTGGGACGATGTCTGGGCCCAGGGAAACATTCAAAAAGCTTACATTGCTGAATATCAACTGCCCATACTTTTCCATCAGATCGTATTCGCAACATTGAAGAAGAAGTCTGAAAAAGACAGCACTTGGAAGTCTGACCGATGAAGAAAACTTCATCAGAAACGGGTTACACGACATTTGCTCGTCGACATATTGCATCACAATAGATGTATAAGAACTCACTGATCATCGATGGTTTTCTGTAGCCCACCGACCCATGACGTATTGCTGGAACAGGACGTCGATTCAGCTCGTTCTGGGCATTCCTATAGACGTTTACGTGAGTACGGTAGTCGGATTCTGACCGTAATACAAATGATTGGATAACATACTGCATATTTCTTTTCATGACAGTTAGGTCGAGAACACAGCAAAGTGAGATGACCGTCTTTGTGTACCTGGAAATTACACTGTCAATTAATTACTGGTATTGAGGACTTCTAAGCACGCCCTGATTTTTTTAATCATCAACTTCCCTATTTCATTCAATGTAAACATGAAATCTTCTGTGGCAGACCTTTCGGTATATTTCTAATTTTTAATATTAATTGCTAAAAAAAGTTCGACGTTCCTTTTCTGGGCATTATTTTTGATAAAACCTGTCTGGATCTCTATGTATAGGGGTCAACCTCCTTGTACTTTGTTCACATCAACGTTTTTCTTTCGGGGCTATTGAACCCTATAGAATGAGCCAGGCTTTCTAATTGAAGAATTCGTCATGATACTGAAATGCGCTTTTTTTACACAGCAAAATATAGGTCAACATTGTTGACTATTCATACGACCACTCATCAACCATAGGCCCGTAGAGGACCGTGCTTGCCTGAGTAAAGTTCAAAATCATCCCACGATGCTAACGAGCATCGCGTTTACTGCCTTCACTTCATTACTTCGAAACAAAGAAGTTTGAATATAAAAGCATCAAATTTTTCGTGCTAAAAAATGCCGTTTCGGAATGCGCTCTGCATTCGACTTCCTTTCAGAATCATATGGAGGGTTTGGATGCACATTTTGCCTAAATGTGGCTGGCGGGTCTAGACGATATCCAAGTCAGGGCTTTATTTTCTTACACGAGTGTGTACCAATTGCCTATTCTGGAGGATGATAGGCTTCGGTGTTGTGAGCGCAATTCGATCTGAAATTTGGTCCCAGGACCATACGTGACATTATGCGCCTCTCGCCACTATACCATGTCCGCCAATAAATAAGTTCAAGTGGAAAGTGAAATAAAACGAAACGAAGAGAGTTGAAGTTCAAGAGGAAAGCACTTACTTCAATTCCAAAAGGAATACGATTATTGCCACAAAAATCAGCAGTTGTAATTAAAATTGTCATTACCAGTAAAGCCCAAATCGCCCGCAAAATCATCTGAAATCGAGGGAATCGATGAACATGGGTATGAAATTTCAGAAAATAACGGAATGACGACGAAACTAGAAAGAGAGTGAGCATAATGACACAAAAAATACAAAACAATGAAAAATTTTATACAAAATAAGATAAAATCTAGATTAAGGAGATAGTTGGCTGATGAATTAAAGGATGAAGAGAGTCTAAAAAATTAATATAACAAATGGAGAAACTATCTCATTCTCAGAAGGACCTTCCATAATATCTCCGGGCTAGGCTGTAGTGAATGTCATATCCACTGACGGACTGAAAAGTCTGCGAGTACTCTTTAAACCCAAGAGCATAAAGAAAAGTTAAAATGGATAGTTAGTTAATTCATCAAAAAAAAGTAAATGCCTTCTCGCTTTAATTTTCATTTTGTGTGCAATAATAGCTATTTAATTAAATCCGGGCTGGTTAATAGGGTGCTTGCTCGGCTCTCTCTCTCATTTTTGAGGTGGAAATCTTGGGTCTTTGAACAGAACCAGGGTAACAAAACAAAAAGGTAAAATGGAACTTCCCCAAGAGTGAACTTCCCCAAGAGTGAATTATTTGATGGAAGAGAGAAGCGAGGTCTAGATCAAGAATTCAATGCATTTATATAAGCCAACGCGTTTTTAAATTGTCTGGAAGCTCATGCAGCGATTGAGCGGCCAGACTATTCTAGATAAAGGTCAAGTTCATAGCGAGAAAATCTGAGTCTCTAAAAGAAACGAGGAGGACGAACTGTAAGGCGAACTAGGTCAATCTTCCATATTATAAATCTTCAATATACCATATTCGAGGCGGAAGTAGGACCGCAGCAGAGATGCCAGCCCAGATTCATCAACATTCAAATTGCCACCTCTCTATCCCTCCAGGGCAGCCTATTCAATAAGGCAAAAGGGATATAGGAAAACCGGAATTCTAGAGACCAAGTAGCCTTTATAAGTATAATCAAAATATACGTTCAATCATCAATTCGATTCTGAATAAAGGTCAAATGCATGGCTCATCCCAAAAATGAATCAGCTACACTAAACAGTACTCCCTTGCTCAAGTAATCGCTCCTTAGTAAAAAGGCATCACTTGTCGACCAATGTAGTAAGTAGTAAGTAATGGGAAACAAAGGAACCGTATCACACCTGAATCTTCGTCTCCTTTACCCTTTTCGCAGTGTGATCATAAGGAATTCTCTAAATCGAACTGTGCAGTTGGAGCCTTTGGAAAAAAAAATAGAAAGTATTAGAATTAGAATGTTTGTGACAACAAGGAAATCGATCGATAATCAATAATAGCTGAAATCGGCGATGATTAAGCGGTAACGAATCGTCTACACTTATCGCTTTGCCGAAAACAGCCCTTCTGCTCTGCCAAGGCCATAAAATGAACGTATATCACTTTGCAGACGGGAGTTTTTTGTTTGCGCAAAAATCAATATGCAATCGTCATAAATTCCTGAGTATCGTCGTGGAAAATCAGGAAAAATACTTTCAAAAAAAGCAAATGCCAATGATGGGAAGTCATTGTGAAAGAGCCATTGATGCAAACTGCATATTTTAATGGGAATGTTGTAAATGTCCCAAAATTGGAACAAAGGATTCCCGAAAATTGATAACCGAGCTAATTTTCAATCTAATGGGCGATTTAATGAAAAATTCTGGAAATGAAGGTTTGCAGACCCAAAAAGTCATCATGGAATGGTCGGACAAAACGAATTTCAAAAAAAAAATCAAAAAATTCTGAGACGTCTTATAAGACGGTGGCGACCTTTCGAGATTTCTGATTTGGGAGGGCACGAAGTTTGGTAGCATAGATGAGTAAATTGGGCTTTCGGTATTTTGAGCTTCGAAAAATCCCGTTGGTGGGCAAGGCGTGCACTCCCGTCACCTTTATTGGATACTATTTTAGTATAAGAAATTAATTACAGTATGACTTCAGAATGGGAAGTACCCAAACAAGGGTTGCAAACCATATGATTGAGATGCCATAGTTTTGAAGACGGCAAAAAACACGTTTCTATGATTGATCACTCCCGTTTTGGGTGATGCCCAATTGTTCTATTCCCACTCGGAACTGAACGTTATTTGTCTCATAAAACTGTGTGCAATGGGNAATTAATTACAGTATGACTTCAGAATGGGATGTACCCATACAAGGGTTGCAAACCGTATGATTGAGATGCCATAGATTTGAAGACGACAAAAAACACGTTTCTGTGACTGATCTCCCTTTTGACGTCCCGTTTTGGGTGATGCCCAATTGTTCTATTCCCACTCGGAACTGAACGTTATTTGTCTCATAAAACTGTGTGCAATGGGCAGTCAGGGGACAAATTGCTCAATCCATCTTCTCATTCGGGTCTGGATCCAAGTCAGCGATAATGGCATGGATTATTTGCGTGACCTAGACAGGCTTTGGGGCAGGATTCAATCCTTGGACCACAACTAAAGTAGTGGCGCTACATAGCACTACAAAACCCCTGCCTTTACAATCCAGATATCTGCATTAAGATCATTAGGGAAGAGAAACACTTGAAACTCGGGATTAGTTGGTCAACTCAACAGTGAGAAAACACTGCGTGTGAGAAAACAAGGGAAATAGTAATGCGGACAAGTCGATCAGCTGATTGCCTCCGAACTACCACGAAAGAACGAAGCGCTAAAGCGACGAATAGCACTATAATGAGATCGACCTTGACAAAGGGGTGGAGAAAACGAAGCGCCTTTTGTCAGCGCAGGTTTTTTGCATTAGCGAAGCCATACGAGCTGTTTGATTCATGCAAAGCACGTCTGACCATGATGGCTTAGCGAATTCCCTGCACCGTGAACAATGTCCTATATCCTAAAATGGGTACCTTACAATAGAAAG